GCCCCCCCCCCGCCCGCATAAAATTCAAAAAGTACCGTTTGTGACAGACAGTTCGATACGTTTTTGGACTTCCTTGAGCTGATCGTCACTTTCGATAAAGATACTCACTCCATTGGAAAAAGTAATGTTTTTCTGGTTAGATTCTGGACTGATGTGCTTTTTATTGCTTCGAAATAACAGCGATAACAACAGAAATAACGACAACATCAGCCAGACGTTTCAGCTCCTTCAACAGTAAAATGTGACCTATGTAAAACCATCATACACAGGAAGAATGATATAGTAGTCTTTTGGAAAATAATGTCAATAAAGAATAGGGGTGGAGGGCTAAGTTGTGTGTTTATGAGGACAACGGAGTAAGGTAACCGGACCTCCTATGGAAAATTGAAACACACAGAAATGTATGGATAATCACAATTTACTAGAGAAGTTTCCGACCGTGAGAGATGTGAAATCAAAACAGTTTAACGAATGTTTTTCCAGTGTATTGTAATAGCACAGAACAACGAAGCCGGTTGTCTGAGTCGTCGCATTGTGTTGATGCTGGACACATCTTCTATGAAATGCACTACGTACCGCCTATTCGAAACAACTGTCCCGTTCGATCTCTTAGCATCTCGATGGAATGTTCTATCATTATAGAACAAAATTAACCATTATTATTATCATTATTATTGGTAATTATAATAGTGAGCTGGGCTATAATTGAGCTTTAGCTTGCCTTCTCACGTGATTTTGTCCCAAGCATTCTGAAAGCTATTCGTTGTGTTTGTTCTCCGTTTCAGTCCGAGAAATGACGAAAAATTCAGTGTATTCCGTAAAGTTATTTACGGACGCAAACAGATGCATAATGGAAGAAAATTAATTAACACACTTCCGGATCGCATCTGTTACGTCCATCCGGGGCACACGTGTTCCTACCGTCCGGTCTACGCATTTCCATTATTTCTGCAGACTGTATATCCATCTCTCCGTGGAGTACATTTACATTTACCTAACCGGACATCCTATTCCTGGCACACTGTGTGAGCGTATTTTCATAATTGTCTATAGAACATTCCTAGTCTGATCGACTGAATAATATTCACAACGGTCCTTGTCTAATACTCGCGGACAAAGTTTATGCACATTACGAATGGAAATTTATTGATCGAGATAACTGGTCTATCGGACAGCATAAACACTGGATAGATAACTCAAAAATAAACGTATCCTGTTGTATCCCATTTGTCAGTTTGTGGACGGAGTTCATTGGAGTTTATATTTGTCACAAACAAATGGAACAAAAGTTAGGGTGGGGGGAATACGTAATTTATGCTCAGTGTGTGGTGGAGCTAGAATTTTTGCTTCCAGTTGAAAAAGTGCCACAGACCGAGTAACGAATCAAGGCAGGTAGCTGCAATAAATTTCTTCCTGTTATACCATCATTTATAGACTGCGGTAAATGTTGGAAATGTGGTAATGGTTTACCTCAGACATTGGGTTGAAATTTGTTTATTGTATAGTTACGGGGAAATCTACCTCAAACAACGCTTATTGAGACAAACAGATATTGAACCTATGGTTGTGAGATTTATTCAATGTGTGCTGCTGGTTTATTACGGGAATATGCGTAACAGTACTGTAATATCCTCAACCCATTCGACAGATACTGCTTTGATCTCCGATGAGTGAACTAGATTGAACTTACACAATGTGGAATCCAATTACGGAGATGATCAGAAAAGGGGTATTCATATTAGAATACTAGCTGTTCTAAGAGGAGCAGGCAACTTTCGTCGCACACTATTTATTTGAAGTTCAATCACTATAGGCGGCGTTTTATGTCACTCGCAATCAATACATTGAGAAAGTATTCTTAAAACCTTACTATTTTCATCATTATTCTGTTTCCATTCAGCAGATCAACATGAGACGTTGATGAAGATTATGGGAATAACAGAGGTTTTTCGCTGTATTTGGGCTTACATAGGAAGTAGGGATAAATTTCTTCGACGGCCCACTGGGTAGTTGCTATATGATGCACTCATGAACCGAAAACTAGCAAGTGTCGCGCCGTCAGTATTAGTATTATTACCAGCAAGCCTATTGCTATTCTGACATCCAGTGCAAACCATTAATACAACTGCATTGTACATTTGATGCCATTTCCCTTAAAACAATTCATATAATTCTGTAAAAGTTATTTGAATTAGGAAGATGTTGATAAAATGATGTTTCTGTCAGCTGAGAGATAGACTGTCTATACAATCTGACTCTTAGTTAATCAGTCTGTTTATCTCAGTTATACTGATCAATTTATCGTATTCTACCCTTAAGACATAGGATGTTTGACAAGAATATGCAAATAAAAGACGTATCAATACAAATAAGCAACCCCTGGAATAACCAATAATAATAATAATAATAATAATAATAATAATAATAATAATAATAGTCGTTCCAAACTATGCACCCCCCTCGGAGAAAACACTGTTTCATAACACGTACTCGCCTTCAACTCACTTGTATGCAAGCGTTATTACTATCAGCAACCAGTATCTTGTTTTCACGTGTAACACAAATACCGGTTGGATTGGCAAATTCTCCATCACCTCTGCCCTTGGTTCCGACCGTTTGAAGCAGATCACCTCTGTGCAAACGGTTGATATCCGCGAGCGCCTCGGGTGGATCAGGCTTCACAGAACGAGATGGTGCAGATGTGCATCTTCTGCGGGTCTCACAAATAGAGCGAATTCGGTGGGGCAAGTGACTATATTCATGCATTTTTTCTATCCATGCTTTAATATCCGGTTTACAAGGCGCTCTGGCAAAGACCAGGAACGGTGATCCTTGAATGTGTTCGCCATACATTTTGATGTTTAAGTCATAAGCACCAGGGGTACTTGCCTTATAAACGACATACAAGGGAGTATTGTAAGTTGATAAATGTTCCCTTGAACTACCGTTTGACTGTTGACTCGAATGCCTTTCTGAATCATTCTGGTCGCAAATACTCACTTCGGTCAAATACTCCGCTCGAGTAGTCATTGACGCTGTAAACTCTTTTGAAGTTGGGTTAACAACAAGTCTTCCGAGGCTATCCTTTGGAACGATTTCCACCATAACTTCCTCATTCACAGAACATCTCCGAATTGGTGAGAACTCTTCTCCTGGAGTCTCTGCCAAAGTTGTCATGTTTGCATCGATACTGGTTAAACCAATAGCACCAACACATTGAATCATACTCAAAAGCTGATCCAGCTCAGTGGGGAAGAACGACATTGTATCGTATTCCGATGGATGAAATGGGACTGGAATTGTGAGAATCTTTTCTATCTCCTGTCTGTGCTTCTGAACAGCAACAGCACGAGTTGGAGGGCCAGAGTTACCCTTTTGAGTGTTCTGACTGGAAGCGCTACTGGGGGACATTTGAACGAGACGCTTCAACAAATCCACATGAGAGGAAAGCCGCTGAAGACGGGTCTCAAATTCAGTTCTCATCTTGATTATATGTTCAGTCCTTGAATTTAAAGAGGCATCAAGCTCGTTAATGAGGAATTCATGGCGTTCTGTTAATCTTCGTTGGATCATCTGCATACTTTGATCGATTTGGCTCCGAATTTCTTTTCGAAGAATAGGCAAAGTTTCACCCAAACGTTCCAGTTCTTCACATCTTTCAGTAAGGCACTTAATCACATCTTGTGCTTGGCGTATGACTTCGACCGTCTCCACATTCCCAGAGGGCTGTATACTTTCAGCCACTGAACTGATAGATGTAGTATCACTTCTTGATTCATTCAAATGTTCGACACTTGAAGCGGATTCGCTTTCAATCCCTAAGCTAGGATGGCCCAGCATGGTAAAATCCCAAATGAATCACAATTCATCGGAACACGCTAAAACGAATGAAGCAATTTTCGCGCATCTACCATTGGTCCAAATGATCGTGCTGTAACCCAATCAGAGGCTGATTCTCTACATTAAAGATCAATGATAAATCCTAATAATGAAGAAAAATCGTTAGAATGGAAATTTGACCTTAAAAGAACAACGTATGTAACTGTCCGAAACTTTTGTTTTAATCGATCAACGTTTTATTTCGTTGGTCACATTTGTAAGCGCAGTTTTCGAGGTACTTTCTGGCACGGTGAGTTTGGTCGTCTCAAATACTTTGCTGTTTGTTTTCTCCCCTCCCTTCCCCGCGTTCTCACCATTGCCGTCATCTCTTTTGATAAATTATAACAGTACAACACTTAGGGTTTGATTACTGCGTCTTTAACGAACAGTGGCTCTACTTCGATTCACGGAATATACCTTGATTGCGATCAGGTGAGATGCAGGTACAGTACTGTAAACTTTAAACTGCGAAGCAAAACTCAGCAGCTGCCTACGTTTAATTCCCTCTGTTATCCTTATAACTAAGAGTAGATATACCTCTAGAGGAGGCTGCAATCCGATGCGTTCAATGTTCATTGTTCTTCAATTAAAGGCAATGATAAACTTCCCGTATAAGCCTCATCACACTCGAAGAATGCATTCAGGACTGATCTGCATTCCACATTCCGCCAAGGACGCTGTGGAGCTTCCTCTTGAACATATCATTTACCTCGTCCACCATATCGGCTGGAAGGCAGTTCCCTAGGTTGGTTACCCTGCGCGATAGTCGGTACCTAAGAGGTAATCCTACTGATGGAAGCTTCAGCAACGTAAGTCTGTCCACGAGTAATTTGTGGTTTCTTGTAACACTCAATGAACCTATTCGTTAGAGATGTAGTGAAGTAATAATATCAACGGTTGAGTGGACTCTTATGGATAGAATAAAGTGAAGAGATAAATAGGATTACAGGCGCTGATGTTAAATCAGTGAACAATCTGTCGTATGCTATATTTTCGTTTCTTGCCTCCTAACTTCATGCTTTCGCGTGGCGGTTTGGGTCCTTGATGTCTATTTGGTTGAAGGTTAAAGCGGGAGTAGTGCTCGGGTAATGATACTTTACACAAGGAAGTTAAATTCTCAAATAAACTGTTTTCTTTGAGCACCACCTTTTACCCGATATCCTTGCTACTGGTCATCGATTTAACTAATTCTCAGCTACACTATTGTGAAACCGAACAGCAAAAGCATTTATAAACCCACTGATCATGCTCCGTGCCAATTCTAATTCTGATCAGTCCCGACTTACCATCCTAGCCAGATACCACACGCTGGAAGGCCTATTCAGTGGCATTGGTAATGCTTACCCTAATTTTAGTAAACTGAGGGGCTTAAGCAATTGCTCTGGTGTGCTATTGCAATAATCCAGCGAGGCGATACTCGGCGCAGTAACATGAATTTGTGAGAGGTTCGGTGGTGTTGCAGTGGTTTAGTCGCTGTCACCAACGTGCTTTGGAGGTCATGGTCTAAGGTTCGAGACCCGCCACCCAACTTTGGTAGTAGGTAGCTTTGCTCTTTTCCAGTGCAATATTAAACCGAACCTAGCGAAGCCTTATGTTGCTCACCACTCCAATTCCCATAGCTTAGGCTAATAGTTACCATCAATTTACCGGAGGTCTTGGAGACTATGTGGTTTGTCCCGTCTGCCGTTAACAGGACAAGGGAGATTCGGAGCTGCGACGTCATGCTTGTTTCACGTTTTGCTTGTGGCGGAAATGGTAAGATCTCTTCAAAACATGCGCCAGGATGTATGTAAATATGACATGGTGTGACATGTTTTCGGCGGAGAGGAGCATTCCTCCTCCAGTACACAATCCGACCCTATTGGTCGAGCAGTACGTTGCGAACTGGGAGCAGTCTGCCCATGCTTCGGATAATGGTATTGGTGGATCGCGGTAGGAAGCCAACCAGTCATCGGAGATGCCACCGGGTCATCCATCGTGGAGTTTTACCATGGCATAACTTTCTTCTATTACTACACACTTTAAGGTGATGAATAATCGCATTCACCATGACCTGTTTTTCACTCATGGAAACCAGTAGCCTAAGTGGTAAACCACGTAAGGTCTCGCTAAGTGAGGCCTGGTATTAAACAAGACAACAGGAGGGCTGCAGTGCGGATTGCAGTTGACAATGCCTACTTTTTACATCACTGGATCCGGGTTCCGTGGTCGAACTTTGGGTCGAAGATGTACTGGACCAGGGACCATCAATCAGGTTAGCACGGACGTATTTTTGGTAGATCGACAAGCAAAGGGAACGGATTGAGTGAAGTGCGCCTAAAAGTATGGGATTCCACTAGTAACTGATAAGCCGCTCAAGGTGACCTTTAGCCTGAGGATTTTAAGCAGTTATATGAATGATTGCCACTTATCACGTAGGAAGGTTGGTAATCCAAACGTTCATGTCAAAAACGGAGGCCGTTCAACAGGGGCATTTAACAGTAGTAGGATATGGCGCACGAAAACCGGGAGTATTTTTCTGAAATCATCAGAATGTACTGGTAGTGAGGTGTCAAAACAGGTACTCTATACCCTTATAATATAACCAATAAATGTTTTTACTTGTCTATTAGTCTATATATATATATAGTCTATTAGTTATAGAAATGTGCAAGAAAATTTCAAAGAGAGGGTCGCGGTCTTACAAAGGTTACCCGGAGAAATAGGTAACGGGAAGATGAGCGGTAGTGGTCGAATTCGGACTCAGGAATCCCAGGCAGTTATTTTAAAGACCGTATCATTCGATCACTGTCGCTCGATCATCATTGCGTTCTTCAGATCCAACCCCGTACCTATCTCAGTTACTAGTTCAGAACTAGAGATGAATGAAGCGATATGTTAAGATGACGGCTAGCTTATTTACACGCGTTCCGTGGTTATTTTCAACAGTTCAGTCAGTACAACCATTAACCATGCACTTTCGTACGCCGGTTTTGGTCGATGTCTTTGGACTGCCCATTTGGAGGAACATCAGGAGAAAGACACCAAAAGGTGAAAGTAGAATCAAAGAAAAAAATTGAGAAATACAATGGAATAATATTTCAGAGAAATTAAGATGCACTAACGCCGCTGTTTACGACTCAGCCATATCACTCAGTGTCTCTAACCCTCGGTTACGATCTTCCGCGGTCCCCAACCAGGGAGCCTAACGGGACCTATGTGAACCAGTGTCCTGGTTGGGGTTTTCATACTCTCATGCTGGGCCTTAGGTTGACTACCGTTGGCTTTATTCCACTGACTAGCTGTCTCGGCGATCATCGCCCGCCATAGCGAACTGTTTAGTGGCATGCTTAACACGTCCTGACGGCGTAATCTATGGAGGTCGACCACTTCACCCAGTGGACGATTGCGGCTACCTAAAACTGCGCCTAACCTCAACATTGCTCTTTCGGTTACCCCACCATACTCGTGCAATGCGACGACCGCGGTGTTCGAGTACCGACAATCTATTTTTATCCTGTTAACGTAGTGGCCAGGTCTCTGCGCCGTAGATCATCACATACCAAACTGCTGCAGCATATACTCGACCGTTCACAGACAACCGGATGTCGCGAAGGCGTCACAAATTTCTCGGATTGGCAAATGCCAAGCGAGCCTTATGTATGCGTGCCGACACTTCATCTATGATGCCTCCTCCAGGTGAGATATATCTCGGCCAATATAGCAAAATTTGTCTACTTCTTCAGTCTGGGTGAGGGTATGGGCTGGATCAACCCAATCTTGAATCAACATTTTACACTTGAAGGTACAAAACGCATACCGAACATGGATACTCTAGCACTCAAACCATCCAGAAAAGCATGGAACTCATCTGGATCTTCACTTAGCAGCACAATGTCATCTGCATACTCTAGATCAGACAGTCTGGCAACTGGGATTAGATCGATGCCACTATCCTCGCACAAGGATAAGGCTGTTTCAAGAATTCCACTTATGACAAAGTTAAACGAAAATGGAAAGAGAGCAACCCTGACGAACACCAATTTCCGTGGTGAACTCAGGCGAAAAAGTGCCGTAAGCTCGGACTCGACTTCGATTATTTTTATAAATGGGATCATAATATTGAAATAAGCTTCTCGGACACATCATTCAAGGTAAGGCAGCGCCACAGTTTGGAGCGGTCGACTGAGTCGAAAGCTGCTTCCAGATCCAGAATGGCAGAGATGGTAGGTCAACGAAAAGAGTGGCCGTGTTGTAGAATTTGACGAAGAGTGAATATATATATGTATATTAACACCAATCTTTACAGATACGGCACCAAAAATAACCATGGGTGAACGAAAGAATACAGATAAAAAACGGGAATAACAAAACAGTCAACTTCAGTGAGTAACAAACTTTTGTTTGTTTACTGCACGCCATTTTTGAGTTTTTTTTTCCTTTTTGTTTACTTTTGGGATTGCAAACAGGAGAGGACACGTTCGCGCCACTGACTTCGGTTCGATGCCATATCCCGCAGTGTCTGCAGCCAAAGACGATCTGTATCTTTGGGGCCCCAGCCGGGGAACCGAGAAACCATAACGGAAGCCAGATCCGAGCACAATTTCTTTAACCTTCTGCGCCACGTCATGGCCTGCCCACCTCGTTGCTTCTTCCAGCCTGAACCAACGTCTGCGAATAGTGCACGGTATGGCAGACGGTGCTCAGGCATTCGTAGGACGTGCCCTAGCCACCTAAGACGATGCTGTGAAATTATTTTGCCCAAAGGAAGATTATCTGGTCCCAGCACCCGTCGTCTGACTTCATCGTTATTCACGCGGTGCTCCCACCATACGCGGGCGATGTTGCGCAGACAGCGGTTGTCGAAGACTGATAGCTGGTGGACGTGATCTGCTCGGAGATGCCAGGTCTCGCAGCCATAGAGCAACACGGTGCGTACCGTTGCGCAATACACACGTCCTTTCAGTGAAAGGGATATATCG